GAAGTGCTCTAAAACTTCCTGGTATGTGGCTGCGTTGACCCTGGACCTCAGAAAACACAATGGACCAACACCAGCAGATGACATGGCACCCCAAACCATCACTGACTGTGGAAACTTTACACTGGACTTCAAGCAATGTGGATGAAGTGCCTCTCTTCTTTTCCTCCAGACTCTGGGACCTTGATTTCCAAAGGAAATGCAAAATTTACTTTCATCAGAGAACATGACTTTGGACCACTCACCAGCAGTCCAGTCCTGTTTCTCTTTAGCCCAGGCAAGACGCTTCTGACGCTGTCTGTGGTTCAAGAGTGGCTTGACACAAGGAATGCGACAGCAGAAACCCATGTCTTTCATACGTCTGTGTGTGGTGGTTCTTGAAGCACTCACTCCAGCTGCAGTCCACTCTTTGTGAATCTCCCCCACATTTTTGAATGGGTTTTGTTTCACAATCCTCTCCAGGGTGCGGTTATCTCTCTTGCTTGTACACTTTTTTCGACCACATCTTTTCCTTCCCTTCGCCTCTCTATTAATGTGCTTGGACACTGAGCTCTGTGAACAGCCAGCCTCTTTAGCGATGACCTTTTGTGTCTTGCCCTCCTTGTGCAAGGTGTCGATGGTCGTCTTTTGGACAACTGTCAAGTCAGCAGTCTTCCCCATGATTGTGTAGCCTATAGAACTAGACTGAAAGACCATTTAAAGGCTTTTGCAGGTGGTTTGAGTTAATTAGCTGATTAGAGTGTGGCACCAGGGGCCATCAATTTTGAACCTTTTCACAATATTCTAATTTTCTGATATGATGAATTTGAGATTTTCATTTGTTGTCATTTGTAATCATCAAAATTAAACAAAATAAACATCTGAAATATATGAGTTTGTATGTAATGTATGAATATAATATACAAGTTTCACTTTTTAAATGGAATTACTGAAATCAATCTACTTTTTCATGATATTCTAATTTTATGACCAGCACCTGTATTGTTTGAAACCCCTTAGGGGCTTTTAAAAACAAAAATGGCTTTTTTTGCGCTTTATGAAACAAAGTACCCTATATTTTGTGGATGTACAGCTACATTTCTCATGTAAGTTTGCGTAGTTTTAACACAAACATTTATTTTTCATATTGCACCAGTACAGTTAATGAGCAACCTGTACTTGTGTGCTTGTTTGTTCTGTCTAAAATGTTCATTTTGGAATAAAGAGTATAAAATATAAAAAATATGTTTTGTCCGATTCATCGATTAATCGAAAAAATAATCGGCCGATTCATCGATTTTTAAAATAATCGTTAGTTGCAGCCCTAATGTCAACGAGATCTACCACCACAAATGAAAACATTTGATAAAAGCTACCAAGATTCTGCCGAGTTCGGACAGAGCTTGGATCAGTTAACCGTGTCGAGTTTGTTTCTGACGACCATTTACAGATCACATGGTTCCTCCTCCTATCGGCGGTCCACAATACTACAACTCTTAAGGTGGACATTAGGCAAACAAATGGCAGGGCCCATAACATTCAGGAACTTAAGTGCCTGGATTGCATCCTCCGCCCCAAATTTCAATGAGAGCCTCAGTCTCGCCATAATCTTTGGTCGCACCACGCTCTTTTGATGCCATTTATTGTTAATAGGCTGAGAAGAAGTTTGTGTTGAGAACAAGTGAAAAGAACTGTGAATTACAAGCCGAAAAACTCTGGAAAACAAAATGAGTCCGCTGACTGTAAGGAGCTGATGCGGTCTACTCATGCGCTCCTTTTATCAGAGAACCGATCCACAACTGAACCATGCCGGGCCCTTCTATTGAACTAGTACTGGATTTAGTGCGGTTGGGTTGTGTCTGGCACAGTCCATTTCAGTTGCATGCCATTTACACTCAACAGTTTTCTAGGTTACTGTGCTCAGACCCTGCTGAGAACAGTTTCAAAAGGCTAGTGTAAATCATCTTTACTATTGGTTACGGTGGCAAATCTGTGATGCTAGGGGCCTTTTTCAACTCTTTCTTTCTTTGTTTTTGTGGCTGTTATTTTAAAAGTAGGAAATGGATAGGTCTCTGGGTCTGGATGAGATACCAGGACAGTTTTTGCTATTTTTTTGTTATTTTTACTGCCTGTTAAAAAAATTAGAAACTACCTTCAATTCGATTTCACTGAGAAAAAGATTGAAACCCAGTTTAAATTTCATTGGATCTCAGTGGGCTCAGTAGAAGAGAGTGAAAGACGATGAACGACCCCTGTTTGTCTAGCCTTATGAAACATTATAGAATAATCAAATGCAGATTTTTTTTCACATTTGTATAAATATTCCCAAATAATACAGATGAATCTTACTAAACTCTTCAGTGTGAGATTATACTCCTTCAACAAAGCATCTTTACTGACTGCCAGTAATTGAGGAATTATTTCTACCAATATCCAACAAAGAATATATTTAAAAAACTCTGATTGTTGGCAAAACTATGTTGAGTTAAAGCCCAGAGTGAAAAAGACAGTGTTTCTGTCCAGATTACACAAGTAAATATGTCTCTTATTGGGACTGATGTGTCCCAATGTGTCCACATTAGGCCAACAGGAAGAGAGCAAACTGGGAACGAGGCATATGGGAAGTTGGGAGTAAACAGTTCCAGAACGGTAAAATAAGAAGGAAAAAACCAAACCGAGGGAAAAAAGGAGACTAATACGCTCCAGGTTGATTCATATCATTTGCCTTTCAAATCATGGCTGGGATTTTTATTTTTCTGTCGGCTGGAGCACAGTTGATGACACGGGAAGAAGTGGAGGGGCAGCGTTGGAAATGAGTGCGGCCCTTCTCTATATGAACAGTCGTGCCCTGAGGCTGCAGGAGGCCCCTCACCGGCCCCTCTGATATATTACCTATTATTTCTTCCTCGTGTCCTGCTGTCTTTGCCACTGAGATGAGTGAATGCTGTGGCAGCAAATGAGAAAACAAAAGGCACCGCAGAGAGATGAAGTTGACACCATATGACCTCTGCTTATGTTGGAAATCTTCAGCTCAGTTAAACCGCTGCAGTTTCCTTCTAAGCAGATTTAATACACCTTAACCTTTCTTCAATCATGCCACACCCAGAAAATTCAGTGTTTATTTGGATACTGTTAGATTAACACAGAATAACTGATTATTGTGAAATAAAAATAACAGGATGCGGGTGCTGGTGAAGATCCTCGGTCATCAAGGTCATACTCATTCAAAAAAAAGGGTTAAAACAATCCACTTGACTTTGTTTCCAAGTTTTAAAGACGTTTCACTTTCCATCCAGTAAGATTTTTCAATTCAAAATGTCAGAAATAGGTTGAGTTTGACGCTTTATAAAGTAGCCCAACAAATCCTTGTTTTGGCTTAGAAAACATGCAAAATGAACCGGACTTTGAAATGGGGTTCTTTGGATTCATTGTTAGCCTTTAATACCCCATACCTGTCTATGTCTCTGAAGGGGGTTGTTAGGGGGAATTGTTGGCCTGGCTGAACAGGCGAGGTTTTCTGTTCCCCTGTAAGCTGCGATGAAAGCAGCAAGGAATTAACTCTATAGCTGCACTATAGGTTTTTGAAACCTGAATCTCTGTTTGAGATTGTTTTTTTCTTTCCTAGCATAGATGGCTTCCTTCACGCCCCTTTCAAACTACCTATCTTCTTTGTCCAAAATGTGAACATTCTAGTCCTCAAAAGAATTTCCTTTCTCCATAAGGTGTACATGTCTTCGAAGGTTTTCAAACTTGGAAACAAAGTCCAGTGGATTGTTGTTTTTTTTGTTGTTTTTTTAAACTTTTTTGCAAGATGCAGGGTTAATATATCTATATATTGAAAATGTCCCATGCATTTGTATTCCACCTGCACTCCTTCTCAAATAAATTCAATTTACCTTTGTATAAGCAGTAAACAGTTAAATACAATTTCAGTATAAATCCAGGCTTTGTTAAGGCATGAGAGGTTTAAGATCCAAATTTAACAATAAAAAAATTCTCCCAAGCTTTGAGGATCCTGCAGGGCTCCAATCAATCAGTCATCTGTGTGTGGAAAAAAGGAAAAACCAGCTGCTGACCTCAAAAAATCTGTTTTGGAGAGAAGAGCAGTTTTAGTTTTAGTCTACAGATGTGCAATACATGAAGAGGATACCCACTGATTATTAAATAGCAATAACTTTGATATAATCTGCATTCAGGCTGCAGCTAACGATTATTATACAAATTGATTATTCTTTCAATTATTTATTTATTTTTTTATTGGGTGAGAAAGTGTTCCTCATCCATCTATCAGTCTTTTTCCGATTATCTGGGGTCGGGTCGTTGGGGTAACAGCCTCAGTAGGGAGGCCCTCTCCCCAGCCACTTAGGGAGCAGTAGCATCATCAGTATGAACAGCAGAGCAGGAAGGTCCAACAGAACCGAACCAGGAAGTCTCTCCTGACTGTTTCTATCAGAATTTCATCTAAGATTTTCATAAAGCCTCAATTTAGATGCATCTAAAAAATGAGTTTCATCAAGAAAAGATTTTTTTCCTACAAAATATTTGACACAAAAGGCAATACAGATGTTTAAGGTGGGACCTACAGGTCAGAGAGAGCTGATACCTGCAGGTTTAGAACCAGGGTCTGAAACACTTTAGTTTTAATCTAATTTTAATCCCACCACGTTTTTAAGCTGTTTGGTAGAAAAAAACTAAAAAAAAAAGGTGATTAATGTTTAACGTGAAGGATATGAGAACAAGCTTAAGGAGTGTTAATGTTAGTGGAGGCACTGTTTACGTTTCTCTGATCCTCATTGGATCAATTTCTTGTTTGAGGCGAACGCCTGCTTCTCTATTCAGACCGTTTACATTAAACTCCAGGTTGTTCTGCTCAAGGCCTGCTGGTTTTTGTCAGGCTTTTATTCACCTCAAACACAGAAATAGAGGACAGTTGAGAACTAGCTCTCAATCATTCACCACCTTCTTTTTTCTCCCTTGTATTGCTTTTTTCTCCTTTCTTATAAGTGCTCTCTTTGTTGTTGCAGCTTTCATCGCAGCTCTCTACATCGACAAAGACCTGGAGTACGTTCACACCTTCATGAACGTCTGCTTTTTCCCTCGGCTGAAGGTGAGCACCTATCGATGGCTATTCACTGCTTGCTCCTGATCAATGACCTGCCGAGCAGGGCACCTAAGGAGAGAAAAGAACTGAGGAGATGATGAGGAGGAGGGAGCTAATGGCCGGGGCCTAATCGATGCAGGGGCCCTGAAGTGGTGCTTGGCTCTTGAATGCCTCTCATTAATGGCGGCTCAGGCTGCTATTTTAGTAATCTTTAATGGAAATCGCAACCGTTGCAGAGATGCATGCGTAGCGGTGTTGTTGCTCCTCATCGGGGTTTGGATTTTGATCCAAGAAGTGCGGCAGGGGAAGTTGAGTGTGTTTCAGAACTCCTGCAGCTAAATGTGAGCAACTCGTTTTCTCCTCAAGTGCTCCAAGTCCAAATTTAGAGAGAAAACATCCCCTCACTAACGCACTCGCTCGCAAACCACGAGACACACAAACACGCGCGGCGGTGTACGAGTTCCCCACACAGGGTGGACCTCTCCTTGTGAAGCTGCTGCAGTGGTCGGATACGCCATGCTAATTGCTGTCTTGGTGAGCCTCTCCAGGGAGAATCCTCGGCTCTGGAGGAGCTGAGCTTTGCGTCATGGTCGCTGCAAGAGAGCACCTCATTTCCACTTCCAAGAGGAAAGTTGTGAAACAGCCAGCACGTCTCCTTACACAGCCTTCTGGAAAGACAGCATCGCACACTGTGCTGCTTCATCCAATTTAGATGGAAATAGAGAGCCAAAACCGAGGACATGAACGAGCACTTCCCTTATGTTTCTGCTCCTTTGTGCTGCGCCGTGTGATGATGCATATCGAGGGTCCTGCACAAGTGCATCTTTGCAACAGAAATGGCCTGTTCTGCTGCAGAGGTGGGCTTTATCCCGGCTCTTTTCGACTCGTCGAAATTCCTCGGGTTTAAGGCAGAAGAAAGCGATTGGGTGAAGCAAGAATTGTAGAGATGGAGAGTTTGAGAGGCAGCAGAGAGAAAGCAGAGAAGCACAGGCAGCAGAGGCACTCTTTGTAGAAAATTAATAGGAGCAGACAGTTCTGCATTCAAAGTCTGCCTTTTTATGACAAGGCTGCTTCCCTGTTAATGGAAGGGCTTTTAGAAGTCCCCCTTGGATAGGAGAAATGTATCAGGGCTGCACACCTGGGAGACTCCCAGACACTCTTTATTTCTGGCCGGGGATTGGCTTTTGTCTTAAGTAGCCTGTGATTTGTACTCACTGTGAAGACACAGATGGAAAGCCAGTCTGAGAGTGAGCAAATAAGTGAGTCCAAAAAGGGGAGCTTTATAAAAAGCACAGGGAAGGCAGGAATGAAATAAAAGCAACAGCAGCCAGAGGAGAGGGGTCCTAACTGCAGCACCCTGATTCTTTCAAAGAAATGGCTTTAAAGATAAAAAAGAAAAACGGAATCGAAATGAAATGTGTGCTTTTCTCTGTTTGTGTGTTGCAGGAGTTTATTTTGAACCAGGACTGGAACGACCCCAAATCTCAGCTGCAGCAGTGCTGTTTGACCCTGAGAACAGAGGGCAAGGAGCCCGATATCCCGCTGTACAAGTAAGACCTCTGAGAAGTCAGGGCTCGCGCTCCGACCAGCTGTTTGAGGCAAGCTGTGAGGTTATTTTGAGCCACTTAAAGTCAAAGCACTCTCCACAAAAAAAAAAAAAAAGGATTTGAAAACATCTTTCAAAATGTCTCCCTATAATATATTTCTTGTATTTTTCTTTAAAACACTCAGTTTTTGCTTTTAAAACATCTCACCAATTGATGCTACCGTTTTTATTTTAGCTGGTTTAAAAAAAAACACAAAGATCATTTAAATTATGAAAAGCTGCTTTATCACCTGCTTTTCAAATCTAACCCATATTTTTTAAATTACATCCAAAGTTAAAATATGTTAAATGCTAATTAGAGCACCTATTATAACCCCTTATCTATTACCTAAAAGTGTTACTAGTGATAATTGCTTAATAAGGCTTTCTATTTTATTATTTATTTATGCTTTTTATTGATGTTTCTGATCAGTACTGATTTAAGGTAGCTTTTAAAACGCACAGTCTGTTTTTGGGGGCAAATTTTAATCAGAAAGTAAAATTAACTTTTTAAATGTTTCGTACATTTGCAATAAATAATAATCAAATCTATCTATTAATGCATTTAAAGTCACTTTTTATAACTTCTGTCTTGTTATTTCTTTATCTTATAAATGCTCATTAGGTGTAATTTGCTTATTTAAACATTGTTCTATATATTTCCTATATTTTTTCTGAATGCTCATCAAAGCTAGCTGTTGATCATAGATGTTACGTTTTACGTATTCCTATGGAAAGCATCTGGCACAGCGTTGTTTTATACCTGAACACATCCAAAGGGTCTCTGTGGATATAAGTTCATAATTCTAAATTTTTCGGGAAACTTAAAATAAAGATTCAGAGCTTTAATGGGTATTAAATGTTAAAATTTTAAGTCGTTTACTTTAATGAGTAAATTATGCCTTAAAGAAGCCTTTTTTGTTTCAAATTGAGTTTGTTTTAGCAGCACTGTCCTATAGTTAATTAAAAGTAAGTAAGTAAGCAAGTGTTTTTTTTTATTACTATTTTTATTACCATTGCAACAAATGCATCGATATTGTGTAAAGGACAGAACACAACGAATCCGATCTCGCATCTTATCAGACAGAAAATCGTGTTGGACAAGGTTGTGGCGTTTAGCGCTCATTATAAGTCAATGGCGATGATCAAGGTGGCTTGGTTAGTTACATTTAAGATAGACCCAAGGTCTATTTTAGTCGGACTTTGCAGCAATTCAGTGCCCATTTCATGGGTGTGACATGATGAGAGACAGGGTTACAAAACAAAATACCTCCACTTTGGGGGAAAATACAAAATAAAATCAAGTTTGGAGTCGCATGTGGCATATATAGCCTAGTAAGTGGGATAGACTCCTGCTAAAACAATGAATAAAACATTAAAAACAGAATACTTTACCCATTATAGGAGTTTAGGAGGACAGTAAACTGATACTGATCCTCTTTGAGCCTTGCAAAAAAACAAAAAAAAACGAGGGTCAGACAGAGCAGGTAAGCACGGCGTATCTCTCTCACCTCTTTATGAAATAAAGAAAGAAAAACTTGGATTAAGTCACAGATCTCTCTGAGAATCACCTCTCTGCCTCAGCATATAAACCAGCCCGCTGTGTTTATGGCTGTTTGTTTCTTTTCTTTAGTCATAGATCTCATTATGTTTCAAAAAATGTTAAAAACAATCCGCTGGGCTATGTTTCCAAGTTTGAAGACGTTTCGCCTCCCATCCAGGAAGCTTTTTCAATTGAAAAAGAGCATTTCTGGTTTTAGATGCTGCATAAACTCCTTTAGTGGGGCTTTGCTGTATAGCTGTGCCGGTGTGTTTTTATTTTTTAAATAACTTTAATAATCTGTCAAATCATTCTAATGTGGGAAATGGTATTAATTAGTGTATAGCATAGAGACAAAAGTGGAAATCTGCACAGATCTGCCCACCCTGCCTAGTCGGAGCATCTCTATATTCAGTCAGTGTGGTGTTGAAAAAAAAATTGTAAAAGTCGTACCAGGACCTTAACCCTCTGTAACCTTTAGCCACTAGGGGGTGCTAAACATTGAACTTGGATCCCCTCTGAAAGCAGCTAGTAAAACTCCACTGTCGCAAATGAAAGAGTCTGTAACCACTTTGAACCAGCGGATGGATGAGTCATGGAGTCGATGCTGATTTATGATTGAAAAAGGTGGTTCTGTGCGGAAATGAGACGCACTGAACAGCGATTACACTCTGCAAGATATTCCGCTCTCTACCCAGTACTCAGGCCGACTCTAGGGGGTTGTGTAGGACACAAGCGTCTAACACGACACGACGCATTGGAAGTAGAAAACAGCTGTTTCACTCAACTTCACAGCCTCTCTGTGTCACCCACGAGTCACAGTCATTCCTCTGCAAGAGCTCTTTACAATCTGTTGATGGAACAAATCCTGTCTGTATATAGTGTTTACATCTGCAAACCTTCAGCTGTCGCTTGTCCACCGTGTTTTTCTGCACTGATTCATAATCAGATAGCAGAAAGTGGTGGATATGAGAGTTTTTTAAAGAATCTGAACCAGTGAAGCTAAAGCTTTTTCAACATTTATAGGTAGATACAGATTTGGGACCCTGTCGTGCAGCTGCAGGTGTCGGTGTCGGACCTATGGGACGGTCCCTGACCTCCACCTGAATTTGTTTACAAGCCTCAAAGGTGGGAAGACCAGAGTGAGTCAGAGGCCAACTTAACGAGCAAAGGAGGCAGGAGAAGAGTTAGAGCCTCCAGCCCGCTGCTAAAGGTTCCCCGGTGGATTGGTCCAGCCTATGATGGATCCACACCTCCACCCCAGCACCGTCACTTCTCTCTACATCACACCAGGGAGCAGACACCAAGACGCTCTCCCCTCCTATTGTTCCGAGAGCGTTCCTCTAAGTGGGAGCTTTTAGGCTGAGTGCTGCCGCTGCTGGTCCCGTCTGCAGCGGGATGATTGTGAGCGACGCTCAGGTTTGAGCCCCGTCGCTCTGAGCTCCCTCATTTGTAAGCCAGAACGAAGGGCTGCATTATTGATACTAGTGTCATAAGTGACCGCATGCCATTAAAAATGGATCCCGCCGCCGAAATAAGTAAATTGTCAGTGAATAATTTAGCTGACTTGCAGCTTGGAGCCGGGATGTTTATGCTAATGTTGGAGTTTCAAACAACCGTCTTGTACATACGTCCCTGCAGGAATTAAACAAAGTTGACAGCTTGCTGGTTTTTTTTTCTTTTAAATGAGGTACATCTGTTAATTACTGTAGTGAGATGAGACGCTTCGCTCTCTTCCCTTTAGGATTTCTTGATCCTTCTCTTCTTCTTTTCTCTGTTTCTCATAAGCAGCTCAAAGCCGGTTGTCATTCTTTTGTTTCATCTTGTCATTTGTTTATTAATTTTGCTCCTACCAAGCAGAGCTTTGGTATCAGAAGAAGATTGTGGGAATTGTAGAGGCTTTAAAAGTTGTTTTACGCGTCCCTCGGTTGCTCCTCCATCAAAGCCCTACCCTTCGCCTCTCAACCCCTCTTTGCTGCAGATAAATGATGTTTTCTTCCATTTCAGGACTTGTGTTAACCTCTTTTCTCTCTGTGTTTCTCTGAGGGAGCTTGAGTGGGGATTTTTTTTTCCCTCTAGGGTTTTACTATAACTTTTAATTTCTCCTTGAATTTGCAGGACCTTGCAGACTGTGGGGCCGTCACACGCCCGGACGTACACGGTCGCTGTCTATTTCAAAGGGGAGCGGATCGGCTGCGGCAAAGGCCCAAGGTGAGTGAGACGGTGATTCAGAAGGACGGCAACGCAAGGCCTGGAAAAGTTTGACTTTATTAAGCTGTTTCCCAGTTTTTGAATCTTACTTTCCTTTCCTTCCATCCATTGTGATCATATTTCCTTCCTTCCTTCCTTCCTTCCTTCCTTCCTTCCTTCCTTCCTTCCTTCCTTCCTTCCTTCCTTCCTTCCTTCCTTCCTTCCTTCCTTCCTTCCTTCTGTCTCTCAGTCTGTTGTGATCATATTTCCTTCCTTCCTTCCTTCCTTCTCTCTGTCTGTTGTGATCATATTTCCTTCCTTCCTTCCTTCCTTCTCTCTGTCTGTTGTGATCATATTTCATTCCTTCCTTCCTTCCTTCCTTCCTTCCTTCCTTCCTTCTCTCTGTCTGTTGTGATCATATTTCATTCCTTCCTTCCTTCCTTCCTTCCTTCCTTCCTTCTGTCTCTCAGTCTGTTGTGATCATATTTCCTTCCTTCCTTCCTTCTCTCTGTCTGTTGTGATCATATTTCCTTCCTTCCTTCCTTCCTTCCTTCTCTCTGTCTGTTGTGATCATATTTCCTTCCTTCCTTCCTTCCTTCCTTCCTCCCTCCCTTCCTTCCTTCTCTGTCTCAGTCTGTTGTGATCATATTTCCTTCCTTCCTTCCCTCCTTCCTCCCTTCCTTCCTTCCTTCCTTCTCTCTGTCTGTTGTGATCATATTTCCTTCCTTCCTTCCTTCCTTCCTTCCTTCCTTCCTTCCTTCCTTCCTTCTCTGTCTCAGTCTGTTGTGATCATATTTCCTTCCTTCCTTCCTTCCTTCCTTCTCTCTGTCTGTTGTGATCATATTTCCCTCCTTCCTTCCTTCCTTCCTTCCTTCCTCCTTCCTTCCTTCCTTCCTTTTTCCTTCCTTCCTTCCTTCCTTCCTTCCTTCCTTCCTTCCTTCCTTCCTTCCTTCCTTCCTTCCTTCCTTCCTTCCTTCCTGCCTTCTCTGTCTCAGTCTGTTGTGATCATATTTCTTTCCTTCCTTCCTTCCTTCCTTCCTTCCTTCCTTCCTTCCTTCCTTCCTTCCTTCCTTCCTTCCTTCCTTCCTTCCTTCCTTCTGTCTCTCAGTCTGTTGTGATCATATTTCCTTCCTTCCTTCCTTCCTTCCTTCCTTCCTTCCTTCCTTCCTTCCTTCCTTCCTTCCTTCCTTCCTTCCTTCCTTCTGTTGTGATCATATTTCCTTCCTTCCTTCCTTCCTTCTGTTGTGATCATATTTCCTTCCTTCCTTCCTTCCTTCCTTCCTTCTCTCAGTCTGTTGTGATCATATTTCCTTCCTTCCTTCCTTCCTTCTCTCAGTCTGTTGTGATCATATTTCCTTCCTTCCTTCCTTCCTTCTCTCAGTCTGTTGTGATCATATTTCCTTCCTTCCTTCCTTCCTTCCTTCCTTCCTTCCTTCCTTCCTTCCTTCCTTCCTTCCTTCCTTCTACCCACCCTCCCTTTCTTTGTGATCATATTTCCTTCCTTCCTTCCTTCCTTCCTGCTTTCCTTCATTTCTTTTCAATATTTTGACTTTGTTTATTAATCTTCAGGATAAAGATCAGAGAAATAATGACATCTTTAAACACGTGGGTCTAAAAGGAGGAAATGACATGAAAAATGTTTAGAAACCTCTTAATAACGATAAGAAGAGCCAACAAAACAGGATGCGTTCCTTTTCAGTGCGCCACTAATGGGATGAGAATAATGGCTTCACTGTATAGCTGGTGTTTATTATAGCAATTAAGCTCTGTTCTATTGGGAGACACATTACGCACAATGAGGATGAATCAATTACTTATTGATTTAACAAATTTTGTAATGAAAATATCACTTTGAGGCTGAAAAGCGTATTCGCTGAGGCGGCGCTGCACCTTGGTTTTCTGCACTCGCAGCAGGGGCAGGGAAAAGTGTGCAGCTTTGTGTTTTCTCGCCGTCCGTCTCCAGCACGTTTTGTCGAGCGTCGCTGCATCCTGTATTCATGGCGGGCGAAGAAAGTGAATCTCCAGCGAGGGGCCTTTTCAGGGGTGGAGGCGATAAAGCCTCAGCTGAGCCTGCGAGAAATGAAACCTAAATCCATCAAACATCTCTCAACCCCCCCAACACACACACACACACACACACACACACACATGGACCAGCCGCCCTCCCCTCCATCCACACCCTCCCTACTTGAAAGCAGTCTCTGATGCTCTAAGCTGGCGATAAGTTTGTCCTTTTTGCACAATCTCAGAGCGCTTACTATTTACATGATTTAAGCTGCCAACCACCTCAGATGCTGCTACCATCAGACGCCACATAATGCACACAGAAGGACGGCGAATTGCAGACGTAAACAGCGCCCAGTGCTTTGCAAAGTGTTTGCTCTGCGGTACCTGCGATTGTCAGGCAGAAGGATGCACTAAGAATAAATATAATGCATTTCTTATAATCCCCCTCAGTACTGGGCCTGATTTTCTTTTCTTTGACAGAATTTCAAAAAGTCCCATTTTAAATATGCTTAAATCCTTTCTCTGCTTCTGTGTCTCCGTCTCCTTCTAATCTAGCATCCAACAAGCTGAAATGGGAGCTGCGATGGATGCGCTTGAGAAATGTGAGTTGTTTAGCAAAACACAAACACTTTTTGTCTTGTTTTCCCTGAATCTCAGCGCTGTATTTGGTATTCTTCCTTTTACCCGCTGATTGATGGACTGGGAATGATGTCAGGTTTCTGACTTGATGTGTGCATAAAGGGGGAATAAACCTTGCATGTTTAATCCGTTTATCATTCTTTGATTTGTCTTTTTAAACTGGAAACAACAATGAAAAATAATGTTTTTTTGTTCTCAGTTTGTGCTGCTCTTTTAGAAGTTACCAATAAATGGCTGGTTATTGACTCTGCAGGCGGCCTTATACATATTATGTTTTAGTTTAGAAGCCATCATAAAATTCTTCTTTAGCTAATTCAACTACAGTTTCAAGTTGAGCTTCCCTGACTTTTCTTTTCATGTTGGAACCATGTCTGACTGACATGAGCAATTTGACCCATCCGCCAAACATAGCTGATATTTTATTGTTTTTTTCTGTGACTTTAAATATTTTTATTTTTTTACATTAGACTTTCTGCACACTATGCTACACACATATAATTATCACTCACTTTTAAATAAAGTCAGAATTTACCTCTAAAATGTGAAAGATTAAAATTATATGCTCCATTTTATTTTATTTATTAATTTTTTTTTATCTTTAATTCAGTAGCAAAATAATGAATAAATGAAAGAAGGTGCTCTCTGTTCAATATTATTTTATGAAACAAATTTTGACCCCAAAAAAAAAAGTTTTTCATTTTTTCATTGTTGGTTTCAGTTTGAGAAATGAATGCCACGGGTGCTAATTGATATAATTTTAAATTCCCTCTGTTACTTGTATTTAATAACTAAATATTATCTCCTCATAGCCTAATTCTCCTTCTTTGCTGATGACATAACTTTTTATTTTTATGTAACATTCATCTCGTTCCCTTAAAGTCATTTAATAAGTGTGTTCATAGTGTGAGATCAATTACTGGATTGGATTTAACACCAAGCGGAAAACACAGCCGTCCCAAAAAACACCCTAATCTAGATGCAAACCATAGATCATACCAGAAATATAGACTTAAATCGCAATAGCTGTTTAGTGCAGTTAAAATCTATATCAGCCTAATGCTTTTACAATAAAGCAGAAATAAATCATTATACTTTATTTTAATAGTTTTTATTATTTTAATGGTGACTCTGGATAAAAACGTTGACAGCTTGCCATAGAGCTCCTCTGCAAAGCCCTGATCAACTCCAGATAATGGATCATATCACAAAAATCATCTGAAAATCACCATTAAAATCACCAACCTCAGTGTGATTTAATTGGTATTTAGATCACATTTGAGAAAAGTTTTTGTTTAGCCCCTTTCAATAATTAATACTGTGAAACACCCGTATTAGCAATTACAGCTATAAATCCTTAAAATCGTATTTGATTGATTGACTTAGTTGATCTCACAGTGGAGAATTTTATTTGGTACAACGGCTCAATAGTCACAAAGTAGAAGGTGCCAAATGGAGTAAAAGGTGAATGGGGGGGAGGATATACGGTATATGCACAGGGTTACCGTAGATCATTAAAAAACATAAAAAAATCATTATTTTATTATTTTTTTGAATCAAGGCCTTAATTTGCATTAAAATTCATTAAATGTGATTATTGTGGCATTTAAAATGCTTTATTTAAATAAAAAAAAAATATAAAAACAATTTTGTCATATATTGTCAGATATATTGCCAAATATTTGTGCGGAACTGCTTTCGGTTCATCGCAAAGCCGTATGTTCAGAAAAGAAGCGCATGGCAGATAAAATGCTAGAGAATGCAAGTTTCAACAAAAGAGGCTGAAAATGAGGAATTTGGGACATGGCTGCAGCCTGTCGACGGTAAAAATTATGAAGGATTTTGCCATATTATTTATACATATATATATATATATATATATATATATATATATATATATATATATATATATATATATTACACATACATATATATATATATTACATATATATATATATATATATATATATTACACATACATATATATATATATTACATATATATATATATATATATATATATTACACATACATATATATCTGTATATATACATATGTACATATGTATGTATATGTGTATATGTATATATATATATATATATATATATATATATGTATATGTATGTATATATATGTATATGTATGTATAAATATGTGTATATGTATATGTATGTATAAATATGTGTATATATATATATATATATATATATATATATATACATATATTTAAAAAACAGCTGAAGTCTTATTAGCTTTAGATCATTATACAGGGTTATTGCACATGGTATTACATTGGTATTTATATAGATGGGTATTCATACATATAGTTATTGCACAGGGTATCAAATATGAAAACAGGTTATTGCACAGGATATTAAATAGCGATTGCACATTAAAGATTGTCCAGGTTATTGCTGTTATAGTGCCGCAACGCAAGTCTTCAAAGAAGCATTCTTGACTTGTAAATTAGCTGAAGTTGTGTCGGGTTTCCTTATCCTGTCATTTCACGGAGTTTGATTATAGCCACTCTCATCCATGGCCGCTGTTTAAATCACCAGATTGTAGCTCTGACTGTATGCTGTGAAACTCTGCCTGCATCCTGAGTCTGTAAGCAGCTGTTTAAAGACTTCTTATCTATGAACGGTGGTTTTCTTCTTACTGAGGAGCAATAGTTGGCTAAAGAAAAGCATCCTAAAGCATGATGCTGACTGCTCTGTGCTCAGCATATTATGCAGTGATGGTTTTCCATCCTACATGTTGGTCTCATTTGGCCAGACATACATGTCTCCTGTACGCCCTACATGACATGCTACCAGAGTAAAGGCAGACTAGATAAAAATTATTGTTTAACGAAATGTTGAGAATCATACAGAACTGATGACATCACCACCAGATGTTGGTTCACTGCTGCCCTTCCTTAATAGACATGTATCTGATGTGATTCATTTGAGTGGCTCTGTGTGTGAGGGATGCTAGACTTGCCTTGTTGAACGTTACCATTGGCTGTACAGTTTGCAGCTTGGCTGGCAGGGAGCTTGGGCCGAGCAGCCGGTTGGCCGCGACATGCAGGACGGTGGGCTGTTTGAAGTGCGAGCCCAGTGCACGGGCGTGAGGCCGAGCCAGAAATGAAGAACCAGGAAGCTAAGCACCATTGAGCGCATCAATCATCCTGCAGGATGTTTCTGTCACTGATGCACAATCCTGTTTTTTTTTTTTTTCTCCCTTTCGGCCTGTCAGTTGTGTGTTTTTTCTTTTTTTGAGATCATGTTTCTTCACACCCTGATGGACTCTCACGCGCTCATCGCTCCTCTTCAGATTTGAAGGAGAGCGTCTGATGCGTCCCTGATGAGCCGCTGGCCTCCTTGGCTGTTTTTCATCTTGTTATTGTCTTTTCATCAACCGGCACTTAAGGAGAATAGATGGCGGGTTTTAGGCGTTTACGACGTCTCATTCTCTGCCAAGTAAAACTACAATTACGGGGTATTCAGAAATGCATCCAGCGGCAATTTCAATCATATACCATCACCTCGTACTCGCCTTGCATATGTATTGGGAAGCATTACTTCCCTTTATGTGAGCAGAATTCAGAATGTGTCTAGGAGGGACATGTTACACTGAAATCGCTCGCTGTCTGTGGTGACTGCTTCATTAATCAAATGTACAATTTTTTCTTTTCTCCACTAATTAGCTGGAGGTGAACACAAATGGCTTTGTTGGACCCGGTCGCTCGGGGCACAAGGTCCTGCTTTGGTTTCTTTCTGCTCTTAAATGAGGCCTCCAGCCACTTGTGATTGATACGGTTTGTGCGCTTAGGCTGTAGCTTTTTATGAAACATTAGTGTTCGGGTGTGATGAGTTAAAGCTCTCCTCTCCCTCCCTCCCTCCCTCCCTTATTGGGGGGCGTAGTTCGGTGCACACACTCCATCTCCTGCGTCTTCCCCCCTCCTTTAATTCCCGCCGTTTCCTCTCCCCGGTGTACTCCTCTGTCACCAAGATTGATAGATGCTCATTGCTAGTAAATGAACACTTCCCCCCCTCATAAATTGCTGTTTCATGTGACTAGATTAGCGATGCCTTTTAAAAGGTCAGTTAATTTAAAATCATCTCTTGGAGCACTCCCTTGTTTGGTGCAGAGGGCCTCCAGTTGAAGGGCTTTGTTTGACTTTGTATTCTCACCTAATTTAAGGCTGCTAATTTACAAGTCACCTGTTGGCAGGAAGTGCTCTTTTTCACATGATGTTCATGGCGTGAGCTTTGGGATTTCTACCCTGTTTTAAATTGTGAGCCTTTGTAATTGAGTGAAGTCTGTTGGCAGAAGAGGACTTTAAAAGATAAAACTGTATTTTTTTTAATCTAAAGTGGTTAAAATATAAAATAAGGCTTTTATTCATATAAAATGGAGGTCTTCAACAGAGGGTCCACTACCCCTAGGGAGTCCACAGAGGTTCTGCATGGGGTCACGAAAGTTTTGGTTGATTAGACTTTTTTTTTATATTCCCCGCTGCAATTTTTTCCACTAATTGAAATGTCTTTAAATGCAAATTAACATGAATTCAACAGACTGTAGTAAACAGATAAATGGAGGCAGAAGATGTCTTTCAGTCATCAATGCACACATTAAGCGACGCTCTTTCAAGCTGGGCACCATTTTATTCACAACACCTGTCCCATCAACCAGGAATCACAATCAGAAATATGCTGATTCTAATATGCTGAATTGAGAATCAGAAATACTTTAATAATCCCAGAGAGAAATTACTTTTGTTACATGACTCCATCTGTAATAGAGGGACTATAGGACCAGTTTGATAGAACACCATTTCATACAATATATATAATTATCGGGTCCCCACTACATCTTGCCATAGTTTGGGGTCCTTGGCCTGGAAAACGTTGAAGACCCCTGATTTAAAATGTTGCAGTTTTTTTTATGATAAAAATTCAGCATTCAAATTAAATAAGCTAATC